TTCTTTTTTAAAAAAAAAATGATTTAGCAATTGCCAAAATATAAATCCCTTACACAATCAAGAGATTTTTTCTAATTTTCATCCTAAGGCTTCATAGTTTATTTAACATACTATGCAATCGAAAAATATTTTACAATAACTTCATTTTTGAAACATAACAAAAAAAAGTGATAAAAACACAATCGTAGTTGACAATAATATACATAACATGTCGAAATTTTAAAGAATAACTATAATTTTATTATCTAAACATCAATAAAATCATTTAATGATGTGATCATTATCTAATAAATAATAAATAATATTAATTTTTTAAAAAAATATTAGTGTTATATAATTAAATAAAGGTCAAAAAATATTAATCGACAAATATTAATTAATCCCCTATATATTAATACAGAACGCGCTGAGCCTACGTGGCTGCTTCTGGTGCTTCGGAATCCTATGTGGCAAAATTACATGTTTCGTTATTAGGCTTGAGTAAATTTTAATTTAATTCCAAACCAAAAATAATTAGGTTTGGATTACCATAAATATGCTGATTATTTATGGTTATGTTATATGTATTAATTGTATTTTAATATCATTCCTTATTATAACTATTGAATTGTATATATATTTTAAAAGTTAATAATTTTTGTATTTTTTATCAGTTTTACGTATGTAATATATCAAATTAATCTTCGTTTGATGAGCTTCGATTTAACATTCATATTGTATGTATAAAAAAATTAACAACAATAAAATTATGCAAGCATTTAATACATACAGTAAAAAATTTCCAAATAAAGTATGCATTAAATGTGTGTTGACTTTTCTTACTACTATTTTTGGTAAATAGGTTGACTTTTAATATATATATAGATAGATATAGATTTACCCAAGCCTAATAATGAAGCATGTAATTTTGCCACATAGAATTCTGAAGCACCAGAAACAGCCACGTAAGCTCAGCGCGTTCTGGATTAAAATATAAGGGGAGGGGGATAATATATATATATATGTATATTATTCAATTCATGTTAGTGCAAATAGTTTCTTAAACTAGGTAATGAAACTAATTAATTTTTAATGTTTATCTTATATACTTGAACAACAATATACCTGGTTTTCAATTTTTTGACTGAGGAGATTTCCCATCGTGTATTTTCCCAATCGATTAACCCTAACTCCTTAAAATGTGATTTGTGGAGGAAAAAGATCTCAAACAATTGCAGACGACGCTCGAAATTAAAAAAAGTCACAGCTCCATCGATTACTCAAATTTTTCCATTATTGATATTTTGGTATCAAGGTTTTAAATAGCGGACTAAAATATTTATGGCACTGTAGTTATAGCGAAGGTATAGCGTAGATTTAGCGGGATTTAGCGGCTAAATTGCACATGAATACAAATAGCGGCACGCTGCCAAAAAAAGTTATTTCTCAAATAGCAACAACTTTAGCGAGCTATTTATTTCCTTGTGTAGTATCGATTAAATCGCCTCTCTCATAATTTCTAACATAACTCTCAATTACTCTTGGGAAAAACCGCATTTCAATTAATGTGTATGAGCAACACACGCAATTAGAGAAAAATACGCATCTGCCCTCGGCTCTTCACAAAAGACTAGCACTGTCAAACGGGCCGGTCCGGCCCGGCCC